TCGTCGAGCATAACAATTGCCGCCATTGCGGTGAATAATTTTCAAATGTCTTTAGCACACACACACATTCACTAGCATCAGTGGCACTGGAACAGTGTCCTGCACCAAATATGAGTGTGTGTGGGTTCAGTGTGCGCCAATTGCCCTAATGTACCATTGTTATGTTTGGTTTTTCAGAGATAGAAACCACCGCAAATCGATGTTGATGGTGGTGGTGGCGCTTGTCGAATTGTCTGGCAAATCACTTGTGCGATGATTTGAGGCTTAGCGATGGAAAGCGATGGAGAGAATCAATTGAGAGTCAACAGACACCGGCGCAATGGCCACTGGTCGTGTTGCCATCAAGCCAAACTGCCACTGCTTGTGCTGATGCACTGCTGCTCCTAACTGCTGAGAAGGCCACAATTTATGAGGTCTGCACTTGACGGCCAATAGATTGGAGACCAGACCAGAGTGTCACCAGTGGCACTCGACTCATGAGGATGGTAAGATGGTCATCAGCGATCATCTGCAAAGCCATGCAAACTGCGTCATTGCAATCACAATAAAATTGCCATTATAGACCAGTATCTTACTTTTTCGTTTTCAGCCTCCCTTCAAGCCCTGTTTCTTTTTGATTGCTTTTTGAGCGTGATGATCTTGTTACCGAGTAGTGGTAATTGATCGAATGACTGCACCCCAATGAGACTAACTGCTGCTGTTGCTGTAGTGTACTGCCTCATCTGATCGCTTAATTAGGTAAACCACCACCCAAATTAGCCGGCAAACCGGCGTAGACATCGAGTAGGGTCGTAGACAGGCAGGCAGGCATTCAGTTAAACAGCCCAATCTGCATTCATTCAGTTGTAAATGGGCGCACTGTGGCGCGTGTTTGTAGACGACCAAACAGATTTTGTAATCAAATTGTGATGAAATTGGCCTAGGCACTGAGCTAGATTGAAAAAGAGGCAGACTACAGAGCAAACTGTAATCGTTGTGTGTATATCGAGCACCACCAGCACTTCACAACACAGCGATTACCACTTGCCACCGTTGTGCACCCATTGTTCGAAGACGAGGATGGTGTGCCTGTTTTCAAGCTTTCAACGAAAAAGGGACCAGAAGCAGAGACAGAAAGAAATTATCACAGATGACTGCTCGGCTGTTTGCTTCGATTGATTTGAATTACCTTNTGTGTGTATATCGAGCACCACCAGCACTTCACAACACAGCGATTACCACTTGCCACCGTTGTGCACCCATTGTTCGAAGACGAGGATGGTGTGCCTGTTTTCAAGCTTTCAACGAGAAAGGGACCAGAAGCGGAGACAGAAAGAAATTATCACGGATGACTGCTCGGCTGTTTGCTTCGATTGATTTGAATTACCTCTTCTCCAAGGCTTCAAACAAGTGAAACAGTAAAACAGCACTCACTGTCTGCTTTTCCAGTGTTTAGTTCTTTTCTCTTTCCAACTGCGGTGCTGCTGCACTGCTGCAGAGCTATAGTTCTTACCAGCTAAAGTTGACAGATCAACTGCCAAAATGAAGAAGATGCTAAGCAGGGGAGGGAGAGAGAAAGGCTTCACAAACAGTTTTGTGCTCGATTGGATCGCTCAAGCGGGCTCCGTTGCAGATCTGCTCAATTGAATCGATCTTCAGCAGATTGAGTTTTTGAACTGAGTTTGAGTTTAATTTACAGCCAATGAGTGCGTTCAGTATAAATGAGAAAGGGAAAGAGAAAACTCTGGTGATGGTCGTCAAAGGAACTGACACTGCCATCGTCGATGATGGCCGTGGTTTGGATAACTTGTTACCACTGTCCGGGCGCCACTGCCTTTACTCTGTTTGGAACACAAAGACCGATTCGATTAATGCAGTCACTGCCTGGCGAATCATTTCTGTTGCTGCTGCTGTCGTAGTTGGATTCACAAAAGCGGACATTCTTTTCGTCACGGCCAATAATATTGCTGCTCCACACTGCAATATGGAAAATGTCACCAGTTTATATTTCGACTCGCTCGTAATGAAATTTTTATGTTAATAATTGTCCATTATATCGGGACTGCCTGCCTGCCTGTCAGATTCCTTCCACTGCCACTACTGCCGATGATGGTGATGATGATGATGATGCCCATGATGTGCTATTGTCGGCACTTGGCCTATATGAAATGTGCTCACTATTACTGCTGCCGCCGCTTTTATGTCGCCCGTTTTGTTGTCTACACTTGCTAAAAGTGTGCTTTGCTGATTCACTCTGTGTTGAATCGCTTTTCTCAGTGTACCGAATTTTTCGTTCAGCTTTTTTAGTACTTTTAAAAGATTGGTGTGGCTGTGTCTGTTTGGTACTGCGAGATGGGCAAAACTGGACAAGACAACTATTTCAGTGGTCCGGCAAGCATATCAAATAAAAACTGGTGCACTCGTCAGCGACAGTTACCCAGAAAAAGCTTCTGCAACTTATGACTGTTTTCAATTGAATTGGTTTTGAAATGGCGCATTTTCGCATAAGAATAGCAATACTTTTTACTGGTAGTAAAAGAAAACTGACGCCCAGCTATTTTTCTTTTGTCAGCGAAAAAATTGGCTAAAGTTCAGTCAAAGTGTGCATTTCAATTTTTAACTATACGGGGTTTTTTGAGCACTCGGCTAATCCACCATTTGCTCAACTGTTCATTTCATTGATTTTTCAGATCTTCCACTGAGGGCAGTCGAGCGTGTGACTTGACTGTAGTACCACAGCAATTCAGCAAACTAGATACCTTGTATTTCAATCAACACCTCAAATAAATGAACTGCTGAATGAATGAACGAATGATGCCTACCTTTGAATTACATTTTTTGTACCGATTGTTTGATTTGCTTCACTGCTCTACCGCACCTTCTACTAAATTGTTAGTTTGCCTGGTTGGTAATTGCATGTTTACAGTGTATACAGATGGTGCACTATTGGCGTCAATTGGCGAGTCAATTGGCCGGTGCATCGATTTGCATATCCGTTTGGTGTTGATTGATGGATGACACTACGCTGTACTATGGCTAGCAAATGCACTGCAGTTAGAGCAAATTGCCGTCATTTGCAAATTCTGAAAAAATCTGGCAATTGGATTAATTTTTTCAAAAGCAATGAATTGAACTTGTCTTTTGATTTGACTTTCATTTGCTTCACTTGCCACTTTTGTGTAATCTTCTGCTAAATGATCGAAATCCTCCTTTTGACTCAAATACCCATTGCCTCAATGCCTCCAGTTTCATTCAATTGACTGCCTTCTAATTGAAACATTGCCTTGTCAGTGACTCTAGTTTACCATTGAGTGTCCTCAATTGTCCTCTTCACTGGTCAGACAGACCAAGCCAGGTCGCTTACAAATGAGCGCCGGCCTTTGATCGACTACTAAATACTGTGCGGCCCTGGTACAATGCACCGGCAGCGGTATTTTGTCTTTGACCGCCACAACGTTTTGGTGAACACAGGTAGATTTGCTACCTGACGATGTTTGAACAGTTGCTGTATTACAGCAAACAACTCTATTTTCTGTTGTGTTCCCTTTTTGGTTTTGGTGGGCTGAAAAGAAACTGGGGCCTGACAAGATAAAGTCATGACTTGTCTTCACCGTTGTCGTCGTCGTGTGTCCTTTTCTACCACTGTCTTTGCCCATTGTCTGGCCCACGGTGCGTCCCCAGTGTGGCAGCAGTGACAGTGCTGGCATTATCTTGGTAATCTTGCACAGAAGAATGCCTCACTTTGAATGGATTGCATTTTTCTTCTGTGTCTTTCTTTCTTTTAGGACTTAATCAAGTGAATGCCTGCACACAACAAAACAGTTGCTTTCTTTATGCTCCAATTAGAGGGCAGTTTGATTCACTAGTTGCAACCGCTGACAGTTGTTCTTGCCACTGTTAAACTTTCTTCATTCTTAGCATACAATACTTGACGTTTACTGCTTTATTAAGTATGACCTAGCTGTATTTGTCAGTTAACGAGATTTTTTTATTTTGTCTTCTGTTAAAAATTTTCTCTACAGTTTCCCTGATGCTCATGCCACGACCACTAAGCACAATCAATCCTTTAGGTCAATTGCCTTTAATCAACAGCAAAGTGAAGTAGCTCAGCAGCACTTGGCAAGTCAATTTGCGTTAGTAATAACTGGTAATCCTTTGCTTTACTTTTGCCACGACTAGCACCGCCAGGTGCTTCGGATTAGCTGCCACACTTGACAGTTCATTTTGAGGTAGCACTCAAGTGCTGTGAAATTAGTACCTCTTTCACTCCTGATCTTTTGCCCACAGTTTGCGTGTAATCGATCTCTGTTTTTATTGTTATTATCTTTTCAGCATATTGACACAACTGCCCACGCTGGTCATCTCTTTTTCTTTTTGGCCGAATGCATCACAACACNCGGATTAGCTGCAACACTTGACAGTTCATTTTGAGGTAGCACTCAAGTGCCGTGAAATTAGTACCTTTTTCACTCCTGATCTTTTACCCATAGTTTGCGTGTAATCGATCTCTGTTTTTACTGTTATTATTTTTTCAACATATTGACACAACTGCCCACGCTGGTCATCTCCTTTTCTTTTTGGCCAAATGCTCACAACATTTTAGCGCATTGACACGTGCAGCTCACCAGTGAGCGACGATCACTTTTCAATGCAAATATTTGTCCAGTTGTGGGTGATCGTGTGAAAAGGTGAAAATGAGAAAAAAGCAGGCGACCACTAAACAGTGGTCACTGGCTAAAACAGAATGAGGCCGTCAATGTCTATGTTATTTATTTGATAGTACACAAGTGAAGAAGTGCTAAACTCACAAGAAGTGCTCTACTTAAAATACACAACTGAGATTATGATTAGGTTATGATTTTTGTTTGTGTTGTTAAGAGTGCAAACATCAAAAGAAGAAATGCTGTTGAAATGGGAAAAGTAAAGAGAAGAGATCTATGCTACAGAAGAGAAAAGTTGATTCATCGAAAAAAATGTACAGTGAACTCTAAATTGTAAATAAACATACACACACATCTACTTTAAAGTGAATCGCTCTTTTCGTCGCACGACTTTGACTGACTACTTCCATTGGAGTTGCTGTGCATTAGGGCATCGCCGGCATACCAAGTGTTTCCTCCGTTTTCAGTAGCATTACCGCAAATATTGTGCAGAGCCGTCTGCAGCTGGTGGTTTCGTTGACTGAGCAGCTTCTGGTTAAAATCCTCAAAGTTCTGCTCAAAGTTGGGCAGAGAGGCGGCGGCGGCAGTGTTGCCCGCAGAAGGCAGAAGCTGCTGCTGTTGCTGCTGATCAGCCGAACTATTGTTGCTGTTGAGACCTGCAGAGGACTGCATGGCCATGCCAGTCAGTCCGGCACCAAGAAGACCTAAAGACGCCAGAGGATTGGGGATAGCGCCTGCTGCTGCGGCAGCACCTACCACACCGGGAAAGAAGGGAAAGAGGTTGCGATAGCCGGTGGTGCTGGCCATCAACGAGTGAAAGAGGTTCTGTGACAGATGCGGCAGAGAGGGCACTACCGAATTAGGAAGAAAAGTGTTGCCGCTGCTGTTGTTGCTGTTGTGGTTGTTGCCAGTTGACAGCTTGCCGGTGTCAGGTTCCACTTTGTTGCTGCTGCTGTTGTTTAGTGGTCCACCAAACTGTGCCGCCGCCGGGTTGAGGTGCATCAGGGCAGCGTTGCGAGCATTGAGAAAGTTGATGCGTTGCTGTGCGCTGTTCATGCTGGGGCTGCTGTTGATCGGCGTGGAGACTGCCAAAGAGACGGGACATTGAACTGCTGATGGTAGTGGGGGAAAGACGTTCGGTGAGGAGGAGGAGGAAACGGGCGACGATGATGTGGTAGTTCCGGTGGCAAGAGAAAAGGAAGGATGCAGCAGAGGAGTGCCACCGTTCGGGTTGACAGATGGCGGCGAGGCAGGGTTGCCAAACATCGAGAGCAACTGCTGGTGAGGTACTGCTGCGCAGGGAGACTGGACGCCTAGGTGGCTGGGATGATGGCTGTGAAAGTGCTGGTTGTGGTTGTTTCCCTGTTTAAAAGTAAAGTCTATTTGGTTCGCCACATCAAAGCAGGAGGAGTTTCGATGTTGTTGCTGTTGTTGCATTTGCTGCTGATGCTCAACTGCTCCAACGACCACCTTTGCCGCCTGCTCGCGCAAGGCATTCTCGTAGTTGGCCTTGTGACGGACAAAGGAGTTCTTTGGCTTCTTGTTCTTGCTGAAACCAAACTGCTTGCGAATCTCACTGAAATCAGCAGCGGCAGTTGGCTCCAGTGGTGGAAGTTGAAGCGGAATGTTCACTGCAACCTCGTTTTGTACTGCTGGCGCACTTGGGCATTTGAGCATTTTCGAATCTGACGAGTTTGCCGCCTGTTCGCACTCTTTCGCCTCTTTGATTAGCTGTTCGATTGTTTTCAGTACATCATTTTGACACTTGTGCAGTGTTTGCTCCAGTGTTGTAGCTTTGATTTTTGGAAAAATTTTCTGCAACAGATCCACAGTTGGTGATTTGCGTTTGCTTCCTTTTTGTGGACTGATGCTATCAGAAGAGTTCAGATCGGCGGCGTTTGCGCATCGTTTAGCAGCGGCTGACTTGCGCTTGTTCACCTTGCTCACAACTGGTAGAATAGCTGGTTTGCTGTGCTGCTCCATCTGCTCAATATTGGTCAGCGTCTGGAAAATGGGGTTTCCCTTGGTCTCCTCTACCGCCTCGCCATGATGAAACTTTTCTGTAAAATCTATCAACAAAAAGCAAAAGGGAAAAAATGTGCAACACTTTAGCAGAATTCAATTTCAACTGAGTAATAATATTCAATGAGTGTTGCTATTTGCCTATTCATTGCCATGTCAAAGAAAGGTGCAGTGTAGGGAACTGGGTCTCGATTTAATTAAGTTTGATTAATCTGCGCCCACCGACCCAACTGGTAATAATAAATGTCGAGAGCACCAACAATGGAAGTGTCACACTGCTTCCTCACTGCTGCAGCTAATGTGTGCCAGTGCACGATGGCTGCAATTTATGAAATTGAAAACTTGTGACAATGACAGTTTTATTGCTACCGTTAGGAATGCGAGAAAAAGAGAGAAAGAGAGCACTCGCCGCCGATTATGGATGGATCAGTGTATGGAAGTGTGTGTGTGTGTGTTTGGGCAAATATGAATTTGCGCTGTTGTGTCGCCCTACTGCACGTGCATCGAATTACCACCGATATCGGGCACAATTAATCCTGTCCTGTTTGCTAGTCGTGTAATTAACTACTGCAAGTGAGTTTACTGTAAAAATAGTCAAAGTCACCANGCATCGAATTACCACCGATATCGGGCACAATTAATCCTGTCCTGTTTGCTGGTCGTGTAATTAACTACTGCAAGTGAGTTTACTGTAAAAATAGCCAAAGTCACCAAGTCTTGGCAAGTGCAAATTCTCATTCATTCATTCTCTCTTTTTTTGGTAAGCAGCACACTAGCTTTTGATGTCTGCCTGGTATTATAATATGGCTCAATATGAGGAACAATGGAGGTTTCGATGATGCAGAGCAGAGCGGCCTGAGCTCCAGTCTGTCATTAGCACTCCAGCTGAGGAAGGGAAAAACGAAGAAGGCATTATGTGTGTTCTAGCTGGCGCGCGCCCCTCTTTGAGGCTCATCAACATTGTAGTCGTCGTCGTCGTCATCACTCGGAAAATGGCCTTCTTGCTCTTTGCCCGCGTGCCTATGTAAATATTTTGACGGGGACCAGTGTGTGTGTTGTATGGTCAATGAGGCCTACTGCTGTGTGGCAACATTAGTGGCGACCAACACATCATTCAATGCCTAGGCCCTGTGCCCATTACCCGATGTGATTGTGTGTGAGGCAGAGAGAGCCTAATTTGTCAACGCTTTCACCAAGTGCTGGCGTTCCATTTGGGCCGACACTGAGCAAACAGACAGACTAGGGCCAACCTCGGACTAATGGATCGACTGCTGGTGTGAGTGTGCGGCGACAATCGATGCATTATCGGGCCATTTTGCCAGCAGAGTGTAAGTGTAAGTGTGTCTGTGCTCCTGACAAACAAAGGATATATAATCTGTCTGTTTTAGAAGTAGACACACACACATACAGACTTAGCCTGTTGTGTTTTCCTCTGTTCAGGCAAAGTAAAAATGTAAATGTTCTTTGGTTTTGACATCTTGATCTTGTTTAGTCGGTGCGCCCAAAAAAAGAAGCATTCAGTGCGTGGCGTTAATTGGATTTGGCCCTTCTACTAGAAGAGAATTCTTAGCAGTATCAAGTACAGTGGCAACATCGATCAGAAGCATTTGCAACAGCAGCAATANAAGAGAATTCTTAGCAGTATCAAGTACAGTGGCAACATCGATCAGCAGCACTTGCAACAGCAGCACTTGCAACAGCGACCAATGGTCCAATTAATAGTCACTGGTCAGTCACAGTCGAGGCAAAAATGTGCAAATGACATTGAGGGCGAGTGCAATGATTCATTGAACAACTGCAGCAGAAGCACACTTGAAGAAGGCACAGTAGCCAGTGAGCCAGTGTGGCAACCATTGTCTCGTCTCTCAAGATGACAGTTGCAAGTTGCCTTCTTCTTCAGTTGTTGAGGGGCAACAAAAAGGAAAAAGAAAAAATCGCTCAGGCCTGGCGAGAAGACTTATTCTCAGTTTTCTCTTCTTTTTTCTTTCTTTCACGCCTGGCAAAAGGCCATTCATGTGAATGAACATCGTGCGCTCTTAAGTGGTCTGCGTTTGTCGTCCAGCAGCACCACTCGGCACTACGTGAAACTTGTTGAAATTTGAATTCGAAACTTCCTGCTCCACACCACCAGTAATGGCTGATGATGGCGATGGTGGTCATTGTGCTCGAGCCTCCAATCTCGACACACATAAGTAGCTTTCCGAGTCCACAACTTCTCCCCAGCGCCCATATGACACCACCACTACGACCAAGAGCACCTTATTGACCATGAGCACTACCATCACCACCTCTCTCTCACCCTCGGCTGTCAGCAGCAGGNCTCGACACACATAAGTAGCTTTCCGAGTCCACAACTTTTCCTCAGCGCCCATATGACACCACCACGACCAAGAGCACCTCATTGACCATGAGCACTACCATCACCGCCTCTCTCTCACCCTCGGCTGTCAGCAGCAGACAGACTGATTGATTTAATTGGACCAAATTGGAGGCGATTCGTTCCGATCAGAGAAGAAAGAGGCCACAATGTACTTTTTTTCAATCACCAAACAGTGCAAATAGTTACTGCAATTGTAGCTTCTCTTTCGGCAAACTGACTGGTCCGCTGCTGCTGTTGCTGCTGTCAAATTAACTCAATTGCCGCGACCACGACAATTGGACACGTCACTGTTGGCACTGCTGCTGAGGCAGCTTCGGTCGGGTCGTTGGCGATTGTTTTGACAAGCAAATTACTTAAGCCAGTGGCGTCTGCAGTTTTTTGCGCTGCTACTGTCTTTCGCACTCGGTAAACTGGACCAGTGTGGCCTGAGTGCCGAGGAAGACACAGTAGACTGCACTGGCGGTCTATGCAAATTGTAATCAGAATGTGTGCGTGCATGTGTTGCATTGTGTCTGGCGCTTTGTTTGTCGCCATTAGCCATTGCAACACAAAGGGGGAGCACCTAGCCTTCTTTCTTTTCTCTCGGCCCTTTTCCTTCATCAACACGTGCTTTCTCTCTCTCTCTCTCTCTCTCTCTCTCTCTCTCTCTCTCTCT